GGAAATTTCCCTTGTTTCGATCTCCGGGGGTAAAGGTTCGTTTTAAGAAAATTTGATTGACCTTGAGGCTATCTTCAAAGATAGGGCTGATGTGGTAGTCAAAGGTGAGCTGACCAATACAGAATCGTTTATATTTTGTAACGATAAAATGGCGCATTTGGAGTTGTTAGAAATTCTCGCGTCTTTGAATTTTTGTATAAGAATGAGAAAATCAATTTGACCTAGAAATGACCTTCAAGGTCGTGGTCGGAGGTATATGCAAACATGGAAAATTCCCCTCTTTCAGTTTCCGGATCAAAAGTATAGGGCCCCATTTAACGAAATCATTTTGACCATGAAACGTCCTTAAAAGTCAAAGCCAAGGTGGTGATACTTAAATAAAATCCTACAACATTTTTTCGCAGGTTAGAATTTTCTCAGATAGGCGGGCGGTCGGGAGCTTTTCAAATACCCTGTCTGTTTGGCAGTACCGTGTGATTTCAGGGATTCAGCAGCAAACAATCATAAATTGGTACACCAACTATTCAGTGTCACCTGCGATCAATATTTTCATTATAATTTATTGTCGTCATTCGTGAGCATTGTCTCTGATTGTCAAGGAAAAGCTTACGCTTTTCTGGTAGCCGCTTGACCTAACAGCTGTGTATGAGTGTGACGACGAGTATCTCAGCTAGGAAAAGGTCAATAAAATAAAACATTTGTTTACTCCTGATGGTAATGTAATATTTATGTTGTTGAATGAAACATTCGCGCAATTGTTTTTGTGAGTCTAAGCGGACTATTGCATATTTGAAAGGTTTATTGGACAGTGCTATTTGGTTGAATAAATGAAAAAGAAAATACGTTTTAGAAACAAGAATTTAAATTTGGCCGTCGGTAAAACGACCTAAAAATTTGAAAATATTTATTTGTCAATGATTGGTGAAGGAACACGGATATTCGTGTTTGCCTAGTTAGCTTGATCTAGAAATATACTGTGTGACCAAGAAAGGTAAAAACCGACATACGTGTTTACCTTTTTTCTCATTCAGTATAAATTTCGAATCCCATTTTACTCGTTGTATCTTCGTGTGTATGTGTTCGCGTCTGTCTACGACCAGCTCTAAGTCTACGTGAAATTCTCTTCCCGGATTACATGCTACGTTTATATGCACATTTTAATTCGTCGCGATTATGTTCAATTGAATGTGTAAATTCATTCATTTTTATGTAAATTGCAGTTTCAGTAAAATTGCATATGTAATACAATTAACACGTATGTGTATGTAGTTAGACTAATTACACGTTTTGTTATGCATGGCGCCTAAAATTGTTACTGCTTGAGACTCGCGCAGATGTCTGTCATTACAGTATATTCAGATAAGAGATAGACCGGACATAAACAAGACCACGTGGTCATCGAACGCTGTAACATTCGGCAGGGACGTATTAAGAGTCACGCAGTACATATTTTAGATAGTAGATGCTGCTTTGCGTAACATTGTAGTAAATTAGCACAATTCGATGTGTATACGATTGGTGATGGATATAGGATCATGTGGGGGTGGGGTAAGAAATATATAATGATGTAAATATACATAAGGGTTTCAAAATTTTCGCTTCGATTTCCGGCTTCGGATGCCGCCTGATGTTTGGTGAAATACAGTCGAATATAATCTCAAAATGGCGTTTAAATTAGCCTAAATTAAAAATAATCGTATATCTCTTAAAATTGCTTTTAGAATATTGATTAGTATATTTTTTGATTTCTAGGTAGATATGTAACCAAATTAAAACGTTCAAAACGTAAAAAAATGTGCATGGTGAACATTGTCAGAAAGTAGATTCTTGAATAGGTTTTGCCAAAATGGGTTCAAAAATGTCAATAATTAATTAAAAAATACAGTAGCTTTATAATTACTTATAACTTACCGAATTTGATGAACGACATCTTTTATTGGAAAGATGAGCTTGATGAGCTTTCATCATCGCTACTGCCTGAAGCACCAACGTCAATAATGAATGGCTCGACTTGTTCCTCTAAAATATTGTCCAGTTCCCACATTCTCTTTTCAACTTTGTCTTTCACGTGCTTAATACAGTTTTCCCATTTTTGCGCTGTTATTAATTCTAGTGCTTCTTTGAAAAGTCCTTTGAGGTCACAAAATTTAAAAGTTGTATTGTGCTTAGCTATATAATTTTTAACCTCTGCCCATATGAGCTCAATGGGATTGAGCTCTCAATGGTATGGAGGTAAACGGAGCACAGTTTTATTTTGACTTGCTGCCATTTCGTCAATGGCGTATTTTTGATATTCCGCCTTGTGATCCTTGACAATTCTTAATAATTGTACTTTCAGCATTGCTTCTTCAAAGTTGATATTTTTCGAGCGGAGCCAATTTTGAACATCAACTTTCCTTGAAGCCGTTGTTGGGACCTTCTCCATTCTTCGAGAATGATAAGGCGCATTATCCAACACAATTACTGCGTTTTCCTCTAAGTTCGGTAAAATTTTTGAAAACCACTGTTCAAACGATTCGCCATTCATTTCCTCGTGGTAATCTCCAGTTTTCTTAGACTCAAAGCACCACAGACCGTCAACAACAAATCCATCCTCACTGCCAATATGGCAGATAATGAGCCTTTTCCCTTTACCTGGAAATCGAAGTACTAACTGGTGTAGATTTATTTCAATAAGCGAACCTTTTTCATCACATTCAGCGAAAAAACATTGAGACATGAGTACTAGATCGCTATAATTGGGATTATTTAGTCATATTGAAAGAAAGAATATTGAACGTCGTATGATTACTCAGCGCTTCACAATTTAATTTAAAGTTATAAACCTTTAAAAAATGAATGATCAGGAACCTGAAATACGCGCAAATATTAATATTAACAAATTATAACTTTATAAAGCTTAAAGTATGAATTAAAATGATTAGAAATATTAGGAACGGTACATAATATAAAACTTAGTAACTTTTTTTAAGTTTATAATATTCGACATATTTTAAGATTATATTAAAAAATTATTGAAATATCGAAAACACATAAAAACATGGCTTAAAAAAGTTCTAACAAATGAAAATGACAATAAAACATCCACGCATTTTATCGAAAGTTATAAAAGTTTTGTTACTTGTAATATGTTTTTTCTGCCCCCTGGAATTAATGTTTAGAACCTTGTTCCCAAGGTTAGAAAAACATCCGATTGTTGTCTATTACTCGTATTTACCTGCTGGATTTTTTAATCCGGTGGACAGTCCATCTAGAAAGGCCCTCCTGGATGAAGTTACAGAATCATCAACCCATACTTTATTTGTAGTGTGTCCTGCGTTTGCCCACGTTTCATCAAGGTAATAAATCTTCCTGTTTTGATTTCTATATTTCCCAATTTTTGTTAAATAATCCCTCCTCCATAGCACAATTTCTTCTCTATCCAGTAGTAAACTATTACGACCCCGTTTTTTCCATTTGAAATTTAAATGCTTCAGTAACGCATGGAAAGTTGATCGTTTGAAATTTGGCAACGTTGTATCTCCATTTACCTCTTGCAGTACTTTATCTATAGCAGGTATTTCATTCCTAAAGAAGAATTCATGCACTTTCCTCCTAATCGCATGCTTATCAGCTTCATCCAATGATTTAACAATACCTTTGCGATGTTTACTGGTCATTGGCTCAGAAAAGGTGTGATTTTTTTTGTATTGTCTTAACACATTAAACACTGATGCGCGACACACCCCAACTTTGTGAGAAACCTTCACAACAATTTCTTTGATGGTTGATGCCTCGTTCTCCTCGCGCTCGATCTTATATATATTCAAAATGACCTCTTTCATTTCTGCACTCAGATGTCTTTTTTTAGAGCGTTTCCTAGGTGGACTGCAGGAGTTTACAACTTCATCGGCAGTATCTGTACTACTGGGCATTTTGCGCAAGCAGTTGATAACAATAACAATCAATAACAAGGTATAACAATAACAACGACAAACTCAACAACTTAATAAGATAACAAACGAAAACGTCCAAAGAAATATCAAATTGCAATGATGCACACGACATACGTAACACGTCTGAACCTGAATGTGACTCTGCCTTGATACGACTGCTCTGCCGCTCGGCATAGGCATTTAATTGCGAATTGACCAATGAGGGCTCCTGTTTTACGTCGAGACGGCGGCGTTAGCGTGAAAATCACCCGAACCTTTTGTTTACATCCGGTCTATCTCTTATCTGAATATACTGTAATAATTCGGAGGATGACTACGTGATCAGAGATGCAGAAAACGTATCGATTATGATATATGCCACATGAAACTTCTAATAGTAGATTGTCATAGTTTAAATGAAATAACATTTGAACACGATCTCAAGAGTTTTCCATGGTGGCATATAATGTCTATAGATGACATTGAAGGTAAAATGAACTTTTCAACAGACAATATTTTATATTTATTCAATACTAACTGACCAAAAGAGATAGTGCGTGTAAACTCGTTGGTTAGATGACAATATTAAACTTGTATTCAAGCAGAAAGCTGAAGTTTTGTCAAAGTTAAAACGTGATTGTACCGCCTCTTGGCAAAAATATACATATTTCAGAAATCGTGCATTAATACTCGTGCGAAAAGGACAAATAGATTGTTTACAAGCTGTTAAAAATCAGGATATAGAACCCTAAAGACTCTCAAAATGCAATCTCAGAAAGATTCCACAATTTCTGAGAACAATAATTTCAGATGGGCTGACGGAATTGCACATTATGGAGCTAATAGCAATAACTCAAAATCCGAATTTCAATTCAGTCAAGTGAATATTGATACCGTTGTTAAAATCATTCATAAAATAAAATCAAATTCTAGTGATTTAGATGGAATATCATATTTTGCATATGATTCTATGGTCACCTGAGACCGATCACTTTACTGTCTATTTTCTCTACTCTAACAAAATTATTCCATCTAAACCAGAGTTCCCCAAACTTTTTTGTGTACATAAGCAATAATTCAATATTTTTAGTGAGAAGGATGAACCTGATACTTTAATAATAAATTATCAACATTTGGCGTCAATTTTGTAAGGGTTAATCTTAAATCTCCTCGGCTAATGATGTCCAGTCTGTTTCTTTTTTTCGTTAGGAGATTGGTAACAGCGCTGAACCCCCTTTCCACTAGGTATGACGATGGAAAGAAAATTAAAAATTTCCTCGCTCTATTCCATAATAGGGGATAAGTAACGGGTATGTTGTTTTGCAGCCAGAATTGCTGATATCCGTTTTTAAACTGAACCTCAAGTTCTTCGTTTGTACTTAGTTCAGTCAGTTCCTCTTGTATTATGTCATTCGTTTCTTCTATGTCACCATATGGATTAATTTCCACGGTGGTATTACCATAGTCAAAATATTCTCGAACCTAGATTCAAAATCTGAATAGAGGGCATTTAAATGTTGAACGTAAGTTGAAACGTCGTCTTCCTGGCAGCTTGTCTGTGACAAATTGGGGAACTGAGAAAATTCGCCCCGTCCAATATTTTGCTTCATTGGTTTAACTCTGGCAAGAAACGCTGATAAGATGGACTTTGTTTTAATCAAATTTAAACTGTCGCCTTGTAATTGCAAATTAACCATATTAAATTTTGTAAACAAATCTGTTAAATAGGCGATGTCCGTTTTCCTCTTCATTAAATTTTCTTTTAAAATTTTATCTTTAGTATCCAGAAATTCTAAAATAGTCTCAAAAAGTGCAAAAAATCTTGTCAAACATAATCCTTTCGACAGCCAGCGTACTTCAGTGGGAAGGAGTAATTGATGAAAGTGTACGTCATTTTCTTCACACAACTGCGCAAATAACCGCCTATTCAACGCGTTGCTTCGGATTCGGTTTAATGCATCAATGACTAAATGAAGTGATTCATGCAATCTAACACTCAAATTTTTAGCAACTAAATGTTGTCGATGGATGACGCAATGTATTGCTAACACCCCTGACACATTTTGTTTTAAATAGCTTATAAATCCACGATAACGTCCAACCATGGCAGGTGCTCCATCTGTAGCTACTGATATTATATTTGATAAAGGAATTGCTTTTTCAATGAAGTAATCCTTCAAAACATGAAATATTGATTCACCTTTAGTGCCGGTTATCAAAGTTCTTGCGAAGAGCAGTTCTTCGTAGATTTCTTGATTCATAATAAAACGAACATATGCCAATGATAATGCTGCATTATCAGGTAAAGTTGACCCGTCCAGTTGTATATAGAAATGGGTCGTTTGCAAATAATTACATAAGAAGCTTTCAATATCAGAACTCATTTCATCAATACGTTTTTCAACAGTATTGTTGCTTAAGGGAATTCTTTTAATGATATCAGATGCAGGTTTGTGTAAAACAGTTTTTAAAACCTCTTCAACGGCTGGCAAAATTAACTTCTCTCCGATAGTATGCGGTTTTGCGGATTTTGCTATAAGTAACGAGATATTGTAAGACGCCCGCAAACCATCATCATTTCTTTGTGACGTCGAAGCGAACATTCTGTCCAATGTAGGTCTCTTCTGAAATTTATCTTTGAATGTTTGAAAGTATTTCAAATCTTTCTGTTTTATCAGGGTGGCATCTTCTCAGATGATCTTGCAGTTTAGATGGTTTCATAGCGTCATTGCCCAAAACTTTGTTGCATAAAAGGCACATAGGCGATTGTTTGTCCGGCAATGATGGAATGAAGCCAAATTTCAAATAATCAACACTGTACTGTCTACATTTCTTTTTAGATTCGGACATGGCATCAGTCATCTGTGGGCAAAATTAAATTATTTAAATAAGACAGAAAATCCAGCAGCTGTATATTAAAAATATTTTTTGATTTTTCCGAAAACATTCCATAATTCGAACATCTTCTTGTAACAATTAGCCTGAATTACGGAGATTGCACTGTAATTATATTACCGATTGCTAAAACTTTCAAAAAGAAACTATTGAGGAGTACTCGTGTAATTTTGCATGATTGAATATTTAACTACTAATAACTAAAGTCATGATTGGCGTAATTTATCTATCTTTGCTAACTACGAGTACAAAACTAAAATTTAATAAAAAATAATGTACTTACTTTTCTCCAGCACTCTCAAACAAAATAACACTGGCTCACTATAATTTGTGTGCTATACTATCTGTTTATATTTTTTAAAATATTTTCTTAGCACTTTCCTTTTCAAGATTCAGGAAACGAATAAACGTATTTGTCCCACATTCGTATTTATAGAGTGACGAATTGAACAAGTCAGTGCAAGGTAGCGAAGCTCTGAGACTGCGACTCTCAGGTTTTTACAAGTTCAAAATGTATTGCGACCACAAGGCGAATACCAACATCCTACAACTTACACAATTTTATATACATATATAATACATTTTTTACTTCATAGGTACTTTTATAAATAATGTATATGTTTTGATATTATAAGATAGTATGATGTAAGTAAATAGGTACTATCAGTGTATGTGTTGAGATCCACTATCGTGGACCCCCATATTCATTTCATGGACCCGCAAATTTTTTTTCGCTGACGTACACCCCTTGCAGGTTGTCATAGACCCCTAGGGGTCGATATAGACCACTTTGGGAATCAATCATCTAAACGATCTGGATTTCGACAAGGTCATAACTACAGTTTCGGCACTCTGCGATTTAACAGACAATATAACAATGGCGCTTAACCACCAACATACTTCTTGACTTTACTTAAACATTAACATAAATAATCACTCACTTCTTGTGTTTAAATGCAGTTATTATCGATTTTCTGAAAAACCTCTTTCGTTTATTCAAACCTACCTTGAGAATCGAAATTCTTCTTGATCAGCAGTAAACAGATTCTGTTGTTGTTTGACACCAGGTGGGTACCTTCTGGGTGCTCTAGAATATTTATTTGCTAACATATTGTGTATTTTCATACTGTTTAAAACATTAAATAAATATTATTATTATTATTAACCCAAAAGTGTTTTCTTAATGCCTTTACATTGATTATACTATACTTTATTTTGTCGTTATTTTACACAGGTATTCAACAATTTTTCAGTTATATACATATCATATTGCTAAGGCGTTTAGGTGGTAGAATAGATATAGTATCTAAATCTCGCCTGATGTAAAAAAACATTATCGTTACTGTTGTTATGATTATGATTATATAGGTTTGTGGATTCTGGTGCTTGGTGGTTGGTAGAGATTCGTATTTTAGGAGAAATGCATTCAAAGTTTTCTTGTTATAATTCTCATGTAAAGGTCTTTTAGAATATTTGATTCTGTTCTTTGAGAAAGCTCAGGTTTCGAAGTGACTTAGTCGTACAGTAATCTATTGATGCATTGATGGGTCACCCTTTGTAGTAATCACGCATCGATTTAATCACTCTGCAATAGCTTGCTAATATCACCTGTTTAGACATTGATTAGTGGAAGACCTTTTTGAAAAGCACAGCATATCTATTGTAACTAAACGTGCGTCTATGTCCAATACTGTTTACGCTTTCGTAGTAACTAAAAGTATAAATTCGTTCATGTGTCTGATTTATCACAGAAAACAGCGTAAAATTCCTTGGGACAGAGGAAACGATTCGTGACTGGAATGCGCTCCCGACAGTGTGGAACTATTATTACTCAATGACGGCGAACGTGTGCTGGTGTTTCTATACTCGCGACTGTTTTCTTTAGAAAATATATCGTAAGGCCCAGTTCAGATGAAGCGCTTACGACGCGCGTCCGTTTGACGCTCTCTTTAAAAATATACGGAATAAATGCCAGCGCTTCACACGGAAGCGCGTATTAGAAAATTTACGAGCGCACGACGCTGGCCAAGAATACTTGCTGGGCATTTGTGGACAAACCCCAGAAGCATAGTGCATACTTAAGTCGTGTTTCAACTTGAACGTAGTAAACAGAAACTAGCTGTGCTCCAGTAAGAACCGTTTGCAGATTTTTAATATACTAAGTGACATATAAATCCGAACACCTAGTTTAAATGGTTTTATTTTAATAAAATTTTGTTTAAGTACTTAATGAAGCATAATAAGTAAATGATAAAAGTTTCAAAATTATTGCACTGCTTTAAAGCCCTTTGACCTTTAATAATGTGTGGATGCACCCTGATGTGCTACGCATTCTCCAACGCGCCTAGGCATGCTTCTGATCAGGTGGTCAATGTCCTCCTGTGGTATCTCATTCCAGGCAACCACCAACTCCTCTCGAAGTGCTTCTAGAGTCTGAGGAGGACGTTGCAAATTGAGCAATCTCCTACCCATCATATCCCACACGTGCTCAATTGGGGATAAGTCGGGCGATCTTGGTGGCCATGGTAACAATGTGACATCATTATGTTGAAAGAAGTCTATTGTGACTCTTGCAACATGTGGTCGGGCATTCTCTTGTTGGAAAGTTGGATCTGCCAGGGTGTCAAGATAGGGTAAAAGATGGGGTTCTAGAACTTCGTGGATATAACGTTGCGCGTTCATGTAACCTCTGATGAAGATTAAATGTGACCTGGAACCATAAGCTATAGCACCCCAAACCATAACTCCAACAGTGTGATGAACATGTTTTTCAACAAAAAACTGTGGATTCCTCCTTTCACCACGTCGCCTTCTAACCCTGGCACGACCATCGTGCATGCCTAAACAAAATCGAGACGCGTCACTAAAGACAATACTGTTCCATTCCTGATCCCAGAGTGACCGTTGTCTGCACCACTCAAGGCGATTACGTCGGTGTTCTCGAGTTAAAGGGAGGACCCAGTGTGGCCGGTATGAAAACAAGCCAAAACTTCTCATTCGTCGGTAAACACTTGCATGCCAATAGGTCTTCCGTGTTCTGCAAACCATTCATTTGCAATGGACCTGGTAGTGGAGAAACGGTCCCTTAAGGCCAATAATCTTAGGCGGCGATCTTCACGGTCTGTTGTTCTAGGGCGGCGTCCAGTGCCCCTTGCTCTTTGCGTACGGCCTTCCCGAAGCCATGCCTGATAACACCTAACCACAGTGTCTACACTTCTTTGCACTCTAACTGCAATTGCCCGAAAAGAAAGTCCAGCTTCCCGAAGTCCCACTATACGGCCCCTAACAAACTCACTAAATCGTACAGGTCTCCGTACTCTAGGCATCGTAACCGATCGTAAAGGATGTCAAGAACCAAAATCCGCCAACGTTGATTCTTTACTGCGGCTGAAATATTCATTTTTAGAGCGTTAGTGAATTAAAAAAAAAACAGTATAAAAACCGGAATGTCCAACTGATAAGGCTGATCATTTTTTCACTTGTTATTTACAGTAAGATAAATACATTCACCAACTCAAAATAAAACCATTTAAACTGGGTGGTCGGATTTATATGTCACTTAGTATGTATATGATTGGTGGATTATTTTTGAAGCAATACATACACCGTGGTCTTTAGAATTCAAACCTGTATCTAGATACAGTCTCAAGAATTTTACTTGCATTTCAAGGGACATTATTGAGACATTAACAGTGATATTTAATGCCATAGGTTTCTTCTGGATGTTGTGAAATTGGGTAACTGATATATTTTCAGAATTTAAATCGAGCTGATTGTTGCTAAACCAATTGTGCTCTAATGTTGCCCCACGCTTATTCGATATCATCACTGAAGTATCATTTGCATATAAAATGAGTCTATCTTCAGAGGAACAGTACACAAGGTCCTTCAAGTATAGACCGAATAGCACAGGTCCTGAGGGACGCCTACGATGGGTATGTGAGTCTTGTCGGATTTAATAGGCGCATTTGACAAGAGTTCCGTAGAAGTTGTGAATTGCTGTTGCCGTAGACTTTCCATTTCGAAAACCGTGTCGATTCTCTGTCAAGATCTCATTATTTACCATAAACAAAAACAACCTGTCCAGGAAGCAGTACTCGACTACTTTTGAAAAGTTGATGGTATCGTTACTGGTCTGTAATTACTCAGCTCGGAGGGAGGGAGTTTTTGTATTCTGTAATCACCCTTCCGGTTTTTAGCAGACAAGGAAATTTCCATGTGCAGAATGGTATATTGATCACGAAGACTAGTAGTATGTAATTCAGTACTTTATCTTCGATGAAATTTGGGATCTCAAGAGGACCAGAAGAATGTTTATTTTTTAGCTTTTCATTAATTAAGATATTAAAACCTGTATGAACATGAGCTTGTAAAATGCTAGCGCCGAAAAACGTCACTAAAAGGCGGAAGGAATTTCGAGTACACTTCTCAGTACGGTGACGAAGACCAATGATCTGAAAGTAATTTGTACCAAAGAGAGAAACCTTTATACTAGATACTGATGGTTCTCGGTGGACTCTTACTAGCAAACAAAAGTTCGTGGTCATGCTGCTAATAATAAACTATTGTTAGTGCACTCATTCACTCCAGAGGGAACGAAACTGGGCTCCTTTTGCTGATGTTACTTGTTCCATGGTTGGTGATAAACGAAATGTAATTAACGTTTATTGCAAGTTCGTGTACTAACACTCCGAACAAAACTTTTGTA